AATAAGAAATTTCTCTTCTCAGAAAATTAAGCAGATTAAACAATTCACAGAATTTAATATTCATCATCTTCAGAGAATTCTACTTTCAAGAGATTGAAAACTTCTTCTATTCATGAATAAACAGAGCAATTTTTCGTTACGTGCGAATGACTAAGCCTTGACCTACGAGGCCAAAAACTTTTTAGTCGAAAATATCGAGTTATTTGTTGCTCTAATCGTTTTACTACTCTTTTCCCCGCGATCAATGAAAAATCGATTCAATCCTTATCGATAGGAGCCCTTCGCTGGCAAGAAGGGGAGAAGGAAGGAAGAGGGGAGGGTGAAGGTGTGCGCTCACAGACGCTCAAGTGGGGCAAAAGGGAACCACTTAGCCGAAACTGCAGGAGTCTGGGAGTCAGCAGCTATTCGGCAGACGTCACTGGCGCCAGCGGACTACCTTAAAGCCCGGTCACCCCCTTAGTCGTCTCCGCCGACAATCTCATTCCCCAAAAGCGTCGCAAGAATTATAAAGTTGGTGGAGGGGAGAGAGGAGAAAGATGCTGGGTGAAGGGGGAGAAGACTTCTTTCCTTGCCACCCAACCTTGTCAGGCGAACGAAGACCAACCAATCCTCCCTCCTCCCGCAATCCCCCTACATGCTCTACCTCGATCTATCGTTGCATCTCTTAGTCTTGCCCCTATTCACCCCTCTTTGTTTGTATTCTTTTCCTGTTTGTCTCTCCTTCCTTCACATGTCGCTCTCTTTCTCTCTCTCTCCTATTTCTTGATACTCTTTTTATTTTAACTTGGAAGTTTTCGTGAGAAAGGAAACCGATCGGGGACAAGGGAGTTTCGACCGCGAGTTACAGACGGCACGGATCTGAAAATCTGTTCTCCATTAGCGCGACGCCGACCGGAAGTCGTTCAATTAGACTCATGTACCGTGTGATCTCGAAATAATCCGGCGCTCGAGAGACTCCATTGTTATTTCGGGACGACAAAAGTTTCCCCGAGCGTGCTCCCGTTTAATGAGGGACGCTTCTCATAGTTTCGCAGTTTCCGCCTCCGTGGCCGAGACTACTCTCGCGAGTAGTTTTACAGGGCGACGGCGGGGATAAAGCCGGACGTCGTCGTTCCCTTATCGTCGTGCTCGATAAAACGGAGCAATCCTCCGGGATTATCACGTTATCAACTCCCGTCTCGTTATCCGTTGCCCGAGAAAGAACAGCGTTTCGTCCTTGCAATAGAAGTATGATAGAATGGAAATTATTCCGACATCGCAATTAAAGATACTAGCTGATTACACGAAGCGATTTAGGGTAAAGGGCCAATTATATTTTAGGCTGCAGGCTCGATAAATCAATTATCGTTGCCGCGCCTTAGATGGAGAATTTTCGCCCGTAAAAATGATTGAAAATATTTTCTCGAACGGCGGGGAGGAATTTTTTCCGGACTGCGCGAGGAATTACCGCCGGAATTTTTCCCGTCACCGTCACGACATCCCTGGCCCGCCGCGTTGAAACGTTCGTGCCTCGGAGCGCGTTTCTTACGCGTCGCGGCTGCGTTTCGCTCCGCTCGTATCGGTTTTATCCAGACGCTCGAATTTATGCCCTTTTCGCCAGACGGTAAATGGATATGCAGTCGAACGAAAAGAGAAAGAGAGAGAGAGAGAGAGAGATAGAGTGAGGAAGAGGACGGAGAAAGAAGGGACAGGAAACAAAAAGACATCGATTTCCCTGCCCGCTTCCGCGAACTAACGGAGATCGACGTGCACATACCGGTTTCATACGCACAACAAACTACTGAAACGGCCGCCGGAAGCGTTAATATACCGGGGCGTAAGCCCGGGGGCGGTATTTTTTCGCCGCTCGCGCGTTCGCCACTCTGAAAAATATTTTTCTGGAAGCTAATATCTCTCTCGGGCCGATATTCCGTCGTGTAAATAATATCCGCGCCCGTAGGGACAACAAAGTAGGCTGTCACGTGAGTGCAATGGCAATCGCCAAAAGAGGCTCTCTCCGGTAGGGAAAAAAAAATGAGTCGCTCGCGTCATTTTTTTTCTCGCGGTCCGCTCGATGATGAGGGCGAGATCAAGGAAAATCGCGAAAATGGCTCGAATCGAGATTAGTGTCATTGAGTATCGATCGAGCGTGTGAATGGAATGCGTTTATGTTTGATTTAAAGCAGAATTTTTTTTTTTTTTTTTTTTTTTTGTTAAATTTATCGGCTCCCTTATATCTTTCAGTTTTTATCAAGCTGATTCTCATTTATTATATTTTTAATTTGATTAGAAACAAAGTTGAAGGCTCCGATATTGAATATTCACAATATAAACGATTTTAAATAATTAATAAATCGCCTTGGAAGAAAAAGAATCAACTCGCGCTTTAATTATCGCGCTTGGCTTTTAATTAGCCAGTTTAAATTGATTTTTACTTTTTATCAATATCGACTCTTTTTTTTTTTTTTTTTTTTTTTTTGTAATATCGTGGCAATTATTTTTAGAATCATTGCAGGCTTGTGAATGAATCGACGGACGATTACACTTCATTCCCGACATATCTTTTTGCAACACTCGAGAGAAAAACATTATTGCGGTGATCACGCAATCGCGTAGATCGAGAGAGGAAGCCAACATCCAGCCCGTTGCAACTGGACGCCGGAAAACACACGCTAGAACGCGATTACTAGCGGATGATTAATATCGTCGAACGTTTATCCGTGGATTCATATGGTATTTTTATTTCCATCAGGGCGACGACGACGACGACGATGAGATGGTGGGATAAAGCTGTAATTACACGCCGCACTTGTGCGTGTGCTAAAGATTAAAAGGCGCTGGTAGCGAGGTGGGAGTTATTTTAGTCGCGTTGTGGCAAAGTACTAACAGCAAAAAGCGATTTTTCGCGAGAAATCACGTTACATTTTTACACCGCTTCCCACTATCGAGAGAGAGAGAGAGAGAGAATAAAGTGTGAAAAAAAAGAACCGACGTAAAGAAGAACGTGAAAACGTTTTAATTTTTACCGTAAGCTTTACGCGCGCAGATCGTTGCCGACAAAAAGCAAAGAGACAGATCGCATTATTCGGACGCGATTATCAGCGTAATTTCGTATAAATCGTCCAAGGTCGCAAAGCGACGCGAATATTTAAGCACGCCGTAAATGAATACTCTGGGAAATGAAGAGATTATCGTCTCGACTAAATACTCGACTATCCGTAAATTGCACTTTTAAAATAATTTTCTTCCTCGAAACGTCAAATATATGTATATCAAAGACACAGGCGTGCATTTTTAATATCTTCCGTCTGTCAATTTTATCTCCAAAAGAGTTTTCAGATGTTTTTTTTTTTTACGCTACTATACATTTTTTGTAAGTATGTTCTCTTTGTTTTAAATGCTAGGATCTCTTTCAGAGCTTCTGTAAATCTATCGTTCATAAAAGTATTATCTTATCGAAATCATATCTAATTATCTAATTATATTATCCGCGCACGCTCCTCATCGCAATTAGATTCTTTGTCATCCGTTACGAGAATTAAGGCCATCACACACAAAATTCCGTAAGGACATAAAACGTAAGCGTAAGAAGATTGACCAATCCCAATCGAGTATTGGGCTTTCCGTAAAAGTGGAGGGGTTACGGAGAGCCAAATACTCGATTGGGATTGGTCGATTTTCTTACGCTTACGTCTTACATCCTTACGGAATTTTGTGTGTGATGACCTTTACATTGAATACGCAACTACGTACAACGGGCTCTAATCGCTAAACGCGCACCTTACCTTACCTTACGAGAGAAAATCGAGACTTGCCGAGAGTGTTTTTCTCGCAAACGCGCGTAATTGTTTCCCGCCTCGCTTCTTCGTCAAACAAAATGCAATTGTTTTCCCGCGATCGCGATCAGCAATATTGTGTTAAGGCTTTCCATAAAATTCGCGGCCCGCGGCAATGTAATTGTTATCGCGTCCAAGTCAATAACGATTTCGCACAAAACACCGGTCGGGTACACGGGATTGCCCCGCTATATGAATGTGTCGGCACGTACGAAATAGCGAGATCGAGGAAGGGGAAGAGGTGGACCACCGGTTGGGGGGTCGGGGGACGGAGGCACAAAACGTCGAAGCGATTTATTAAATACCATACGGCTGAGCACTGTTATGACACGAGTATGCAAATATTATTTTGCGTACACGAGGGGGCAATCAATGACCCTCCCCTGCCTCCCCTCTCCTTCCACCCTCCCCCTCTCTTTCTCTTCCCAGTCCCTCTTTACGCCCGAATATCTTTCTCTCCTCGTAGCTTCGCGATCGAAAACGCAGCGTGAGAGAGATCTATCTTCGTTCCTAAACGAACTCTCGGATGATTAATCAGAATGATATCATCGGGCGATTTGCGGATCGTGATACATATTTTACAGACGCGTGATGCACAGATTTTACGCGTTCTTTCTTTTATTTCCCAATCACGTGATACATTGGAATGAAATTATTGCGTAGATATTAATCGGGATTCTTTTTGTTTATTAAAGTGAACGAAAGAGTAAACTATATACGCGAAATTCTCAATCATTCGAGGAATATTCGACCTCGTGAAATGATTATTATTATTAAATCATTAAATCATGATTATTATTATTAAATCATTAAATCATGATTATTATTAATAAATTAACTATTATTATTAAATCATATTTTTTTATTATTGAGCAAAAATAAACAATGAATAATATTTAGAAACTCTTGAGAGGAACTCTTGAATGAATTCATGGGGAATCTTTGTAAATTAAACTCTACTTTTAAATATGTCATCACTCAACTAGTTAAGTACACATAACTCCTCCAACAAGTAAGAGCAAATATTTTTCCCATTCGATGCTCTTCGAAGAAATCTGGAATGGCAGTCAAGGACTGCGCGGTTCGATGGATCGAGATCGATGCATTTGCGTCAATTGCAATATTACCGGTGAAAAAAAAAAACAAAAAACTCGAAAGTCTAAAGAAATCTCCAAAGGAACTCACCGATGAGCTGCCCTTCGGTCGTCCCGCGGAAGTTATCCAGCGATCCGTCAACGGACAACGGCGGCATCGGCAAGGACGACGGGGGTGTCGAGGGCAGGGGAGTTAACTGCTAGTGAACCCACGAGGGGGTCGCAGCGGGGGTGGCCGCGTTCGTGCTGACGTAGACGCCCGCGGGCGCGTTGCCGCTCGTCGTCCCGACGACGACGCCCGTGTTCTGGGTGACGACGCCGCCGTTCTGGCCGACGACGTTGCCGTCGCTCACCTGCACCGTGCCCATCACCCCCTGCTGGAAATTGAAGTCCAGCGTGCCGCCCATCGACAGCTCGTGCTTAATCACCTGCAATTCGCGTGTCGAATCGCGCTTTTATATATATATATATTTTTTTTTTAGATGAAAGATTGCTCCCTCTCTCCCCCTCCTCTGCATATCCGATGACATATGTTTGAGTTATATTTTATATATTTTTACATTTTTTCGAGCATGATATTTCGCGGAAAATTATAATGCGTTTACTATATATTGTATAAACTAGGAAAACAATTTTCCAAATAAGAGGATTAATAATAATCAAAGTGTGAATTTTTATATCATGGCAATCAAGGAAACCTTTTTAACTAACTAATTCATATTTTAATACTTAATAAAAATTGTTTTACTTAGCGAGCATTTTTTCAAATATCCTAGAGAAAAATGATTCACTGATTAAAAAATTTTTTAAATATCTCAAAAACACTAGTGTCAGTAGTAACAGATGCGACATGATCAGACTCACCTCCTCGACGTTGCAGTCAAAGCCGCCGTGCATTGCCTCGATGTTGATGTTAAGATCATCGAGGAGGGCGGTATGATTGAGCGCGCCCATCAGCTGGCCCATCATGGTGCTGGGTGTGGCGGGACAGGGTGTCGGGGTGTTGGGTGGACTGGGTCCGGCTGGTCCAGTCTGCGCCGGCTGATGTTGCGGCTGATGCTGCGTCTGATGCCGCGGCTGATGCTGCGGCTGTTGCTGTTGCTGCTGCTGCTGCTGTTGCTGTTGACGCTGTTGCGTTTGAATCATATATTGCAATGTCTGCTGCTGATTGCTGCCGAGCGTCGTAGGGCTAGGCTCGCTCTGCTGGTACGACGGCGACATGCCGGACGGTGACATGCCGGGGCTCAGGTTCTGATTTTCAAATTTATGGAAAGAGAAAGTGAAAAATAATGTATGTGTGTGTGTGTGTGTATAAATATAAATATATAATTAATAATAATTTTCGAACGAGATAAGAAACATATTTTCATATGCGGCTATTTGCGTCGTAAGGTATACTATTCGCGTTTATTATCATAAAACTGCATGATTTATTAGAAAATAAATTTTGAAAAATTATTAATTAATTTCGTTAATTATATATATAGGTTATTGTACGAATTTTTAATTTACTTTTCGAAAAAAGAGATACACAAGAAAAAAGGATATATTTTATAGCAATAAAATAACTAACACTCATATAAGTGAGAAATAAATAAATTTTGTTATATAATACAAAAATCTCTCGAAAATTGATCAATTACAAAAGATAAATTGTCCCAAGCTTGGCTCGAGTATATTTGCGTTTGCACCGTTATCGAAAATAACGTTTCGATACAATTTCATAAGCATATGATGCTTTTTTTAGACCAGCTTCAATAATGAAATGTAAATAAGCTTCTCTCTCCATCGGTTGCAAATCTTTTCATACGAGACAACAAACAAAAATATTTCTGCGAAAATACGTGACGTCGTGAAAAATAACGCATTAAATGTCCATGAAGAAAAGATTCCTCGATTCTCTTTCGACAATATGCCCCTTCCCAAAACCACACTTAATTAAAGTTCCAATCAATGACGTGATATTTATTAATCATTTTTTCGCGTTGGTTAACATTATCTTTTGTAGAAACCATACCAAAACTAAACGGACACTCCTCGCACACATACGTACATGTACGTGTAAAACGTATATCGCGATCCTTATTGATTTTGCAACATTGCCAGGCCGAACGTGCAGGCAACGTAAAAACCTCCAACGTCCTCCTTTGTGGCGTTTTCACGCGCGAAAAATTCGCCAAAAATTTCGACGACTCACCATCTGACAGGCGCACGGTTGGAGACCGTGGATCGGGCATCTCTGTTGATTGGCCGACTGCGGGGTGGGTGGCAGGCTAAAGGACGCGGACGACGGGGTGCGTAGGCCGTTGTTCCTCTGGTATTGCGCTTCGTAGTAAGGCGGCGGCGGTCCGGTCTGCTGCTGGTGACTGGCCGGCGGTGACGTCTGGTAGATTTGGTAGGGTTCCAGTTTCATCGTCTCCGCCAGGTTGCCCGCTAGGATCGTGTCTGCTATCGAGCACGACGTACCACGTATCAATCGCGTGTCGCGGAGAGATGGATAAATAAATGGTGGAAGGTTTATTTTATATCTTGCGATTCATTTCGATTAGAGTTGCGATCGAGTTATTAAAGGGATTATTTCTACACCGTATAATTTGCGATTTATATGCATGCGATGTTAATCAATATAGCTGTAAAAGGGGTAGGGATTTTATAACATTTTATGTCAAGATAATTTGATACTGAAAGTATAAAGGGGAGGGGGGGAGGAAGATAGGGGAGATTAGATATGTACCTAATTGTTGTTCCGGGCTGTAAGAAGGCGCGTAGGTCGGCGTCCACTCTGGTTCCCCGAGAACCGCCGGGATGGGACTCAATCGGCCACAGGAAGAGGCGTTGCTCGAAGCGCGAGGACTTGAATAAGAGAAATATTTCGTTTCGCGCATTGTAAGCCGTATATTTCCGCTATTCATAACTGATCCATATAATACAAATTCTTCTATATTATACGTATACATATACACATATATGATGTATGATATCTAACTCCTATATTCAATCGTATTTTTATCTCCAAATAATTAAAATCACAATTCTGAATATTCCTTTGAACTACGGTATTCGCGTACTTCAAATTCTTTCAAAATAAAAAAAAAAGTTTATTCGATTAATTTCGATTTTACTCGATTCATCTCGTATATTCATTGACGCCCCAGTGGTTTAAAAAAAAAAAAAAAAAAAAAAAAAAAAAATCAAAGTAGCATCTCGAGTATAAAAATTTTCGCTAATAAATTCGTCATTTATAATATTTAATTCTCGATTAAACGAAAATGTTAAAAATCCGACGGAGTGTATAACGTACCGGAAGTCGGAGGAAAGCTGGAATCCGCTGGCAGGGGGCAGGGGACTGTCCGGGAACAAGTCTAGACCCTCGCCGACGCTACTGCTGGGACTGGACGTGGGCTCGGCTAAAAGTCCGTTCCTCAGCGCTTCGGCGATCTTCTTCGAGCGGCCGCGTCGCTTCTCCAGACTACCGGTGCTCTCCATGGTGGTGGCCCTGCAGAGTAAATCCGACGACAGCGCGTTACTCTCGGCGCAGTCTTCGCGCGTGGACGTGAATTGTCAAGGGATCCCGGGGGGGGGGGGGTCACCTGCGACGGGCGGATTTGCCTGGCTTGGCGTCGCGATTGATCATCCACCAGGAACTCTTGCCTGTGCCCTCGTTCTGCACCCGCATAAACCTGCTGTGCAGCGATAGGTTGTGACGTATAGAATTCTGTGCGAACAGAAAGAATAGCATGATTTATAATTTATGTATAATAAAGCAGCAATAGAAGGAAAATAAGACATTATTTAAATCGTGCATCAGTAGAATCAGAAATAGGAATTAAATAGCAGTCTCGGATTGATTTTGTTGCTGAATAATCAATTTTGTTATCTCACTTATGCCGTAGAATGATAAAAAAAATAACATGATCTTTGAAGATTCTCTGTGTTATAAAACAATACAGAGAAGAAACTTTAATATTGAGAGATCTTTCATGTGAGAGAGGTTTAAAAATATATAGTTCTTATCCAAAAATATATTCAAATATTATATCTCTAATAAAATATCCTTTCCGTATAAATTGTACGGTGGATCTACGTCATATTCGATGTAACTCCCTCGTAATCTTTATCTAAATTCGTAACGAAAAAGCATTCGTACCATCGTGTGACATTTGTGTAAAGGAATACCGGGAGTATCGTATACGAAAAAATCAATTCGAAGAGTGAATCATAGAAGCCCGCGCTTTATAGTTCCCCGTCCTCGTTCCTATCTTCTTCATTAGGCAAATTGAATCGGTTACAAGTCCGGGTCTCTCTTCCGAAAAATTTCGGAAAGCTTCTACCTTAATACGAAAGTACCCGTGTCGCGAGGCGATAACAATTTCCGTCTTCGTCTCCTCCCGGTACGTAAGATGGAAGATACTTTCAGACGAAAGACACACATACACACACACGGTAGAAAGACGGCGCGATAAATAAAACTGGCTTCTTCAAAACGGCCGTTATACCGCGAACGAGACAGGCGGAAGTTGACGCGAAGTACCGGGAGGAACTTTCGCAAACTGGCCGCGGCATTTTATCGTTTCGTTAAACCGTCCTAAAACAGAGTCGCGGATTGTTAGCTTTTAAATAGACAGAGATATAATAAAGATCTTGTATAAAAATCTATTTTCTCTCTCCAGTATTTTATTATTTTATTATTTTTATTATCATTAGTATTATATTATTATTTAAAGATATGTATTATATTTATATTATATAATAGAGATGAAGATTTTAAAGTTATAGTTGACAGAATTAAAATAATGCAATAATTACGATTATTTGATTTAAGCAAATCTCTAGCAAAAGTACTTAGTTTTAGGGGGTTTTATGAAGAAATATTAAACAATTATATAATTTTCTAATTTCAATGGGATTCAGAAAAAAGAAACGTCAAAACTGATGAAAACTACAGAAGCTAAGAATCAGATAAGAAGATGTTGCGATGGTCCGACATGCCGTTCTCTTGATGTCAATTAGAATTATGCAAAGTACAACTATAGCTAAGAAACCTTGAGTGTCGATCAAGCCCGACAATATTTAATTAAATTTTCCATCTCTATTCATAACGTAACTAGAAAGATATCGTTTAGAAAGAGAGACGCTCTGCCGAGGTTAGTTGACTTGAGTCTTAAGATAGAGATCACTTTTCGTTGATCTCGTGCGACGCAAAGAACGAACTCCATGTCTTCTCTTCCTCTCTCTCTCTCTCTCTCTCTCTTTTTCTCTTTCTCTTTGGGTTCCGACTGTGACTCTCGGCTACCGATAAAGCTCGGCACTTTCGTCCAAAATCCCTATAAACCGCGGGGAAACAGTCCTCGTTGTTCAGAGGAGCGAGAGGAACGCGACGAAGAGCGCGACAAGGCCGGCGAACTCGATGAGATGAGGACGAGAGAGAGAGAGAGAGAAGCGGTTTTTATCTCATGTCCGAATGGACTGTATAACGCGTAATTTATAGGACGTATATACTCGTGCTACTCGTATTCATACGTCGGCATTCACTAACGCGCCGTCGGCCGAGATATATACGTGATAAGGAACGCCGAAATCAGCGCGAAGACGAGACGTTGGCGAGCCCGATTTAATCGCGAGTCTTCGATTCAAGGTCGATAGGGCACAGGGTGTCTGGCAAACAACGTTGATGATCAAGAAACAGCACTAAACGCACATACATCATACATTTTAATAGATAATAATTGCGAATATATATTCTTTTAATATCCCAATTGGCATAGAAGTTGATAAAATATAATATATTATAAATAATATATATTGATTAAAAAAACGACACATATTAACACAATTACATACGAATTTTCTATTTATTCTATATTTATCGCAGAAAAACATAATCCTACCAAAAAAATGTGGCTGAGATAAAGATAATAATTATGTTACACTGATAACGTTTATCATGTTTATTTAATATTAATATTCTATCCATGTTTGCTTAATTTATTCTAGGGCACAGGGTGTCCGGCAAATAACATTGACAATCAATAATCACCATTAAATCATACAGTTTAATAGATAATAATTGCAAATATATATTCTTTTAATATCCCAGTAGGCATAGACGTTGATAAAATATAATATAGTTTATAAAAAAAATCAACACATATTAACATAATTACATAAGAATTTTTTATTTATTCTATATTTATTATAGCAGAAAAAAAATCCTGCAAAAAAATGTGGTTGAGATAGAAATAATAATTATGTTACACTGATCATTACTTTTATCGCGCTTATTTGATATTAATACTCTATCCATGTTCGCTTAATTTATTTTAGGGCACACTGTGTGTGGCAAACAATTTTGACAATCAAGAACCAGCATTAAACGGGCATACATTACACAGTTTAATAGATAATAATTGCGTATATATATTCTGTTAATATCTCAGTTGGCATACAAGTTGATAAAATATAATATAGTTGATAAAAAAGAGCGACACATATTAACACAATTACATACGAATCTTCTATTTATTCTATATTTATTATTGCAGAAAAAAATAATCGTGCCAAAAAAACGTGGCCGAGATAAAAATAATAATTACGTTACACTGATAATCACGTTTATCATGCTTATTTGATATTAACGCTCTATCCATGATCGCTTAATTTATTTTAGAATTCTTAAAGAGCTCTAATTTTGGCACTGATGAACGATAATCTCGTCGCGTTTTAATGTACGTGCTTGATGTCGCTCGATGTGCGCACAACAATGCGCTTGCGGAACGAGGACGGCATTCTTGCCGGCGATCAATTACATCTCGGTTTCGACAGATTGCAAATGGCCTTTCCGATACGGGGAATGCGGAAACGAGCGCGGGTGATCGCTCGTCACAGGGAATTTGCGATGATGATTGGCGGCGGTGGCCAAGGAAAGGGACGGCTTGAATAATAAATCACGAACGTTAGGTAACTACAAGCACGGAAGCTTTAATTCTTAATGCGCCCGATGGAGACGGAAAAGGAACCCAGATCCGGCCTGAACGAACAATTTCTGTCTCGATCGCCTCGAGCTTCGATGACTCGACATGCACTCGCGATATACATACGTCATTTCCTACCGTCGAGCACGGAAAGAAGCCGGGAAATCTGCGAAATGGGAAGCACATGAAAATCGTGAATTAGAGAGAACTGCAAAAATAGGATCTCCTTTTTATCACACATGTATATTTCAATTTGATAATTTCCTTTTTTTTTTAAAGATAGGAATATTAGATGAAAGATTGATGTAATAATATAAAAAGATATAATGTATTTTTTCTATCAATAATATAGTATAAAAAAATGTAATATCAAATATATATAAATAAATAAATTTTCGAAATATGCGAGGATATAAAGATCCAGATATTAATAAATATGGCACGATTAATTTATCCAAGAGATATAAAGGTATTATACGCAACGGTTTCGGGAGAAAACACATTTATCGTCACGTATATTTTATTTATTATTAATACATTAAGTCTAATTATTTCGTCATGTGTTTTGAAACTATGCATGACGGGAAATGATTATAGATAGCAAACGATTATAAATAGCCGTATGATATCGCGGAAGGAAGCGGGCTTCTACATCAATTTTTACGGACGTGGTTTTTATCTTGTCATAGCGTAATCTCACGCTCCTGTAAGTATTTCTTATCAGAAGGACGCGGTTACTAAAGTTGCGGTTTGCGGACAGGTCGAAACCGCGCGCATGTCTTACGCGATGATTTTCATCCCGCCACATCAAGAGACCTCGTAACCACTCTCGAGATAACGATAACAGGTTCCAACCGAGAATATGCATTAAGTAACTGCTGTTTGCCATAACTCTGTTTTCAAATGATTATAATTGTAAAACCGGAATGAGAATCACGCCTGACTCTTCCGTCAGTCGATATAATCTGAGAAAATGATTTAATAAATGGCAGTGAATCCAGATCGTGCATTAAAAATATTTTAACCGTACAATTTTAATGCTTTGTTCATATTTAATTACATCGAATATTGATTAATTTAATTATACGCTTTTTAACCAGCCCTCGTTTGCAAATAGACTAAATGAACTTTGTTGAATGAGTACTTCCTAAAGTTAAATAAAAGCATTTCTTTAGTAAAGTAATAGAGATTTTTCTTTGACCTCGAATTTTAGTCTACAGCAAACTCGAGTTCTCTCTCTGAACTTGCCTCGATATAATTTAACAAAAGTATCGCACTGTGAAGATTAAAACTTTACCTTCTTATTAGGAAAATCCCGATGGTCCATGTTTAATTTGATCAATTTCATTTGAAAGTTTACAACTCTATTGAATTATATATCTAAATAAATTCCTATTCTTTCTGAAACTTAATAAAATTAATATCAAATGATTCATTGACACAAAATTAATCTTTTTCTAACAAAGATAATTAAATCACTATTTTGTAGAGGATAAGCTCTTTAATTTGACTCCCAATTTACTTGGAGAGGTTTATTTTAATAAATCCTTATTCTTTTTCGAAATAATCAGGTCTATGATATGTAATATAACGGCTGTCAATGTCAATCGAAAATTTGGCAGCGATTGTGAACGTAAAAGCATGCGGCTTGTGAAAGAGAAGCGATATCGTTTTACATCGGCGACGACGTTTGTGCTCTCAGGTGATTAGATGATGACCGAGAACCGATCACATCCTCAAAGAC